GGTTAGATGAACACCTTGCTGGGGTCGTTTGACCCCAGTACTCTTTCCTGCCATGGCAGGGGGTCAGACTCGATGATCTGCTCAGGTCCCTTCCGACCCTAGAAGCTATGAAACTATGTTGTTTGCCTTTGTGATGGCTGCTGAGCCCTGAGCTGATGTTTTTAGTTACCTGTCCACAGTGACCCCCAGATCTTTCCTGTGTGGTAGCAGCTCCTGCAGAGCCCCTTGTAATCTGGGCCTCACTTAGAGTAAGGTTTTCAGCTCTGGAGGAGCAGCAAGCTTAGTCAGGATTAAGTGCGTGTGCCCACAGGCTGCTGAGGAACACCCTTGTAGCTAGGCAAGTCCTTGCCCAGCCTTGCGCAGCCTCCTACCACTGCATAGGAGGTAATGGGGCTGTCACCCCTTCAGTCCTTCCCTGCCAGCCACAGCGCATCAGTCTGTAGCTCCCAGCCAGCAGAGCTTCGGCCTGTTCTCTGCAGTTGCATAGTTCAGCATCACCAGTTCATGTAACACGTGCCAGGCTGATGGTCGTGGCTCACTCCATCTCTGTTCTTCTGTCTGCAGAGCACCTGGTATTCCCGTGAAGGAACGGGTGAAGGTCTCTCAGAACTGGAAGCACGGCCGCTGTCGCAGGGAGACGCTGCTGAAATGGAAACGCAAGCAAGTGGCCCCTTTCTCCCCCCTCTTTCCTGCGCCTGCGGGTGGGGGGTAGTGGGGTTGCTGCTGGACCCTGACACCAGCTGTCCCATGGATCTGTAGGGCCTGGCCAGTGAAGCTGACCGGTTGTCCCCGTCTCTGCTGCTCCTGGCCAGCTGGGGTGGGGTACTGCCAGTTTGGTATCTAACCCAGATGCCAGGTGTCAGCTCTCTGCAAGGAGCTGCTCCAATTCTAGCCTGGGGAGTCCCCCTTTAGGATTCCCCATGCTGCCGTGGGTGGATGCAGCAGTCACTTGGGGTCCCAAGCTTTGGACAATTTGCTTTCCAAGCCTTTCTGCTTCTCTGCTCATCCCCGCTGCCCAGCTCCTGACCTGCGCTCTGCCTTGCTGTCCTGATCCAGCATATATTTCCCTCCTCCTTCCTGTCCCTCCACCGGGCTCTCTTCTTTTATCTGCCTCTTGTCATGCATCCCTCCCACCCCCCACGCACACCTGGCCTGTGTCCATGAATTCTAACATATTTCAGACTGGGGAGGGAGGGAGGGAGGCTCAGGAAGGGATTCACCAGGTGCACATGCCATGTTGACGAGCTGCGATTGTGGTGCTTAACTCCCTGCGTGCCATGCCGTGTGCTGCAGGTTTGCAAAGTAGATAGTGAGGCCAGGGACTTGCGCATTGTTGAACTGAAGCTGTTGCAGCAGCCGGGCAAGGACATTTGAGGGGGGCTCCTTTACAGCAGGGGCCTGTCTGTAGCTCTCACCGGCCCATGGTGCTGTGTTCAAGATGACCAGGTCCACCCCAGGGACAGCTGTAAGGCAGCCAGGGCTCATTTGCTCCCTGTATGTGGCCCTCGCACCTGCTGGTGAAACTCTTACTTTGCCAGGGGCCCGAAGGGCTCTGGAAATGCAAGATGCCCCTGAAAAGCTGGAAGTGCTTTTCCCACGTGGACGTGCAGGCTCTAATGCTGCCACAATTCAAACCACTGCCTCCTAGCCCAGATTTCAAATTCTTACCTTTCCTTCTGGGCAAATCAATGTGAAGAGGTGAGATGCTAAATGGCAGCAGAAGGAAAAGCACTTCGGCGGCCAGCACAGGGAAGCTGGAGATTCACTTGCTCTCAGGGAGCTGCGTGGGAGTGGAGGAAGGAAGGGGAAATCAAAGCCCACCTCCAAACGCAGGCTGCTGCTGCAGAGATGCTTGGGTCAGACGTGCTAGAGGCCAACATGGGAGCCCCCGCAATGAAAGCCAGTCAGAAGTCTCCATGCTTTTGCTGGGAAGCTCAGTTCCACTTAGCTTCTGTGTAGATACTGGAGCTCATCCACACCAGCCAGACGGCCTGGAGACCCTTGCAGGGCCTATGTGCTATAGGGCCTTGGCAGCCTTTGGTCTTCCCCTTGCTGTCCCCAGAAGGCCTGTTAGTACCATTGAAGCCAGTGACCACTGCAGTTTGGGTGCCTGATGTTGCCCACGCCTGTTCCCATCTCTAGGGCCTGTTCTAGTGTCAGCTCCATGTAACAGCAGCAGAGAGCTCAGCAGGGGACTCTTCTGTTTCAGCTTCTGTTACCAGAGTGCTGCAGAGCAGCTCTGCTCGTGTTCGGGATGGTATCATGCCAGTGCTGGGAGCTTGCAAATGTTCTGGCTGGTGGGCCACACATTAGCCCTGCACCCTCCTCGAGTGCCACTCGGAACCCCTTGCCCTGCCCAGTATGCTGCTGTGCTTTCTGCTCCCTGCATTGTGCTTCCTGCCCCCTCTGCTGTTCTGCTTTCTGCTCCCTGGCCCATCTGCTGCTCTGCTTTCTGCTCCCTGCCCTGTGTTCCTCACCTAATGTGCTGCTCTGCTTTCTGCTCCCTGCCCTGTGTTCCTCACCTAATCTGCTGCTCTGCTTTCTGCTCCGTGTCCTATCTGCTGCTCTGTGCTGCCCGTTCCCTCCCCAGGCTGTCACGTGCCACATACAATCTGCTGCACTATGTGGAACCTATGAGCCACAGGTTGGCCATCCTGACTTAGGGTGTGACTACCGCATGCTGGCGGCATGACTTAATAAGGATACTCCCAGGCCTGCCCTGCTTGTGGGTCCTGGTGTTTTCTGGGTTGGAGTAGGGACATCCCACCTGGGACATGTTGCTGCTGCAGTGTACAATCCTAGAGGCACGGGGCTGGAAGGTTCCTCTGGAGGCCATCCAGTTCAACCCTGTCTGTAGGCAGATGCCCAGAGTCCCTGCAGAAAGCTGCTGCTCACACGTGTGCTGATGCATGGTATTTCATACCCATGCCTCTAAATCCCTTAGTTGCTCTTCCTCAGGCTTCCCCACTTGTCTCCTTCCTGAAGGCCTGGCTGGAAATGCGCCCCCAGCATGCACTGCCTCTGAGAGGGAAGCCTGGCTTCCTGTGCATGCTGCTGTACTAAGCACTGCTCCTCCACCTGCAGGACACTGGCAGCTTCCCCCTTGCCCAGCGCTGACTCATGTTGCTGTCTCAGTGTCCAACCTGTGCTTTTTTATTTGTTTTGCAGCTTGATGCCCTGGATGCAGCTGGATGGCGAGTGTCTGTACCTGTCCCAGGCGGAGGACATTGGGGCCTACTGGCTTCGCCCCGACAGGGCAGGCATACAACGCCACCCCCACGCCATCTTCTCTGGCCACCAGGAGGATGTGTGCCGTTTTGTTCTTGCCGACTCGCACATTGTCAGTGGAGGCGGGTACGTTGGGGTGGAGGCGCGGTGTGGGTGGCCAGTTGTGGGTGGCCCAACTTCCTCCTTGCTTTGTACAAACCTGCTCCGGAGGTCAATTTTGTTCCATCATGTTTAACCTGTTGGAGCTCCTGGGGGTGTCTCAAACATCTCTGAGTGCTCCTGTGACCTCAGGTTCAGGGCTTTCGTTCTGCTTCATCCATCTTTCTTCCTAGAGCGGTGACTGTGTAGACAGTGCACCTAGGCTGCGTTCAAGGCCTGGTAGCTACAGCTGTTCAAGCAGGAGACTGGTTTTATCCAGGTGGAAACAGCTTGGTTATCAGATCCTCAGCTTTTCTACCAAAAATACTACAGCACCATGAGTACTGGATCCTCCTTCCCTGAGTGCACAGGGACACACTCAGAGTCTGAAACCCAAGCTGGGGCATTTTGGAGCAACAGAGATGCATTGTAGTGTCTGCATCTTCTGGCAGAGTAGGGTAGGAAAGAGTTTCCAGAGAGCAGCGATGATCAAACCTCTGGATTTAGTTTTGCTCCGGTGTTGGAGAGCTGCTGCAGATCTTGTTACCCCACACCCTTGGATTTGGGAACCAGGGGGTTGAGAGAGAGAAGGCTGGAAAGCAGGAATTTTCTCTCCACTAGCATAGTCCAGTAGGTTTTTAGGTTTTTTTAGTCCAACGACCTTTTGTTTCCAAGCTCTTTTATACCTTTTTTTCTTGGCATATATATTGTTTTGACTATTACTGACTACTTACGTAATTGAGTTTTTACTATTTTTTAATATCTTTATATGCCTAAACACACCCATCCCATACTTACTTGCAGATTTTTTTTATTACATACATACCCTTCTTATTGCACGTTTGTTCTCTTTTTTAATTTTTTCTCCCCAGTATGACTAATGGTGCTGAGGCTTTGACAAAATTTGTAGTTGCTTGCTCAGCTTCAACCAGATAGTGACCTTGCAACACCTCACAGAAGGGGTCAGGGAAAGATTTGCATCTCCCCTACCTCCTTGTGTAGCAGTGGGTTGGGATTCCAGTGTATTCAAAAGCACTAGTGAAAGTGGCTGTGTAGCACCGTCCTTGAGACACAGGAAGGTCACAGGGGTTCACGGGTGCTGCCACGGGTGGAAATATGGGGGGAGAATTGGGCAGAACTGGGCCCTACTGAGCAAATGGTGCGGTGGGAGGGACTGCAGTGCCTGTGCAGTGCTATCAAGCCCTTTACCTTCCCTGCCAAGCACTCATTGCCCCCCTTGTCTGCTTGGGGCTTGTTTTACAGGGATGGCAATATCATCCTCCATGAGATGCATGGCTCCTACAGCGTCAAGTTCTTGGCACATGAGCAGGAGGTGAACTGTGTGGATTTCCGAGGGGGCATCATCGTGAGCGGGTCACGGGACAGGACAGCCAAGGTGAGAAGGGCTCAGGCTGGCAGATTCTGGTGCTGCTCACAAAGAACTGGACCATGAAGCAGATGGGGTATGTGTCAGGGGGGTATGTGTGACTAGAGCTAAACCTTCACCCTTGCACTCCTCCGGGTGTGGAACAAACTACACCTGGAGGGGCAGCCTCTGGAGAGCCTCTTGCCATTTTCTCACCAGGGAAGAGGTCCACAGTGAGTGGGGAAGCTTGCCACTGGTCTGAGAGGTGAGGGGAGGGGAAAAAGACTGAGGGGGGATTTGATAGCAGCCTTCAACTCCCTGCAGGGGGGTTGCAAAGAGGATGGAGTTGGACTGTCCTCAGTGGGGGCAGATGACAGGACAAGGAGCGATGGGCTCAAGTTGCAGCAAGGGAAGTTTAGGTTAGATGTTAGGAAAAACTTTCTTATGAGGAGGATAGTAAAGCACTGGAACAGGTTACCCACAAAGGTGGTGGACTGTCTATCCTTGGAGGTTTTGAAGACCTGGCTAGACAAAGCCCTGGCTGGGGTGATCTAGTTGGGGCTAGTCCTGCTTTGAGCAGGGGGTTGAACTACATGTGACCTCCTGAGGTCACTTCTGGCCCTCATTTTCTATGATTTGATGATTCTATGAAAATCAGTGGGGGCTGGTTCTCCTTTGAGATCATAGGAGAGTTGGGCTGGAAGGGACCTGTCGAGGTCACATCTAGTCCAGCCCACTGCTCCAGGCAGGACCAGCCCTTCCTAAATCATCCCAGCCTCGTGTCTGTCCAACCTTCTCTGGAAAACTTCCGAGAATGGAGAGTCCACAGTTTCTGTAGGTGCCTGTTCCAGTGCTTGACCGCCTGCATCGTCAGGAAGTTCCTCCTAAGTTTACCTGAGGTCCGGCTTTGTCCCTAAAATGCTACTGGAACAGCCTTTTCCCTTCAGACGGGTCTCTTAAACATCTCAAACAGAAGATGGAGGGTCTAAGTCTGGTTTGCTCTTCCTTACTTAGGTAGTGCAAGAGTGATGTTGTAGCTGTGATGGTCCCAAAATTATGAGAGACAAGGATTTCTTTGGGTGATCTTTTGTATTGGATCAACTATATAGCTGAGTTCAAGGTAGACAAGCTTTCAAATGCAAGACTTTCTTTCTCAGGCTTGACATGCATTCAAAAGCTTGTCTAACTCGATCCCAACTACATAGTTGGTCCAATAAAAGAACTCGCCCTAAGAAATCTTTCTTTACCTTGTCATTCCGAAAGTAAAACAAGCGGTATCCTAGAAGGTCCTGCGCGAAGGTGGGAAAACCCAGAAATGTGACTGAGAAAAATGAAGTCATGAGGTCCCATTTTTTCCCTCACCATGAAAATCACAGAAAAGATTCCTTTTTTTGTATAAACCCCACTGTGTCTCCAACTTGCTGAGGTGAGGACTGACTTGCTTCTCATGCTGCATCCATTGTGCTCATGGATAATTCTCCAAAGTTCTGACCACTCTCATCTCACGTGTCCTGAGTAACAGAGCTCCTGCCACTCTCCTTGAGAAACTGTTCCACCCTCTGATAAGTCTTTTTGCCCCGGAGTCTCTGTCATACATTGGTGCTCTTTCCGTCACGGTGCACCATGGAGAAAGGCTATTAAAAGGGTATGTTTCATGATGGAGAACCTAGTTGCTTGTGCCTTCAACTGGCCCATCCTGGAACCATGAGCATCTTAGAAATCTCAAACGCGTCATTCATTAGAGGTAGGGGGAACTCCATCCATAAGGGAGCAGTGGACGGGTGAAGCAGTGTTTCACCTGCAGAAGTGTGCCAAGGAAAAGTCCATCCAGCTCTCTCCTAGGGTTTGGGAGTTTTTTTAGGTTAGGAGAGACCTGCCAGTGAAAACACAAACCAAATGAGTCCCGTGCCAGTGCTAGTCATATACCAGGGCCTCAGCTTCTTCCAGCTCCTTTGAGCAGAGTTCCGCTTTTAGCACTGGAGGAGCATGAAGGGGCACTGCCCAGTCACTGGCCACACCAGCCTGGACAGTATAGCTCAGTGGTTAGGATGATATTGGCTCCAGTGCAGGTTTCTGACACGATCTTGGAAAAGCTGCAATCTCTCTATGCCTCAGTGGGTAACAGCGCTGCCCTCCTGTCATACTGGGGGCTGTACCATCCCTCCATGCTGCTACCAGATGAAATGTAGGACAGGGCTACTACTCCTCTCTGCTAGCCTCTCCTGACCTGGAGAAGAAACTCCTGAACTATGGGGGAGTTGGATGGACTTCTCCTCTTCAGCTGAAATGCAGCTGTGCCCGTCCAGCGCTCCCTGATGGACAGAGTTGGGTCTATTTTCACTGCAGGGCTGGTGTGTGGGAGGGCAGAGGGGGCAGCGTGTCCTAGGGAGCTCTAAGTGCAGTGGCTGTATTGAGGGCTCTGCTGAGTGTTGATTAGTGCTAATCTCTGAATAGCTGCTAATGTACATTCCTTACTGATAGGCACCAGATAGCTGCTCCCAGCCATATTTTTAACCTGCAGGAGATAGGGGATGCCTCCAGAGTTAAGCTTTTCTGCTGCTTTTGCTGACACTAGGTGTTAAATTCCCCGCGGACCAGAATAGCCTGCAATCCCAGCATTATCAACAAACAAACAAATAGGCCCTCCCAGCTTTGAAGTCTTGAAGTAAAAGGCTGGAGCTGGGCAGAGAAAGGGAGAGGCAAAGTCTTGGGAACTGGAGAGGAGGGAAGGGGGGGGGGTATTGCAGTAGTGCAGGGTGTGCTCGGAGCCCAGCAAGAGGTGCAGTGGGGCAAGGGC